GCGAGAAGTTTGCGAGTTAATAAGTGACTCGCCGTTTGCGAGTGAATAAAATGACTCGTTGTTTGCGCGTGCGATGAGTGTGCGTATAATCTTTTAAATTTGGTTCTGAAAGAACTTCATTGACTTCACGTTTTCGATGTTTTACACACACGATAAAGGCCATAGACATTTAATAGCAATCAACGGAATAAAACCACGTGTTTAGTTAATGGCTAGAACTTTTGCGATTCACTTTCCAGTAGAAATGTTTAAAAATGAGATTAGTTTCTGAAACAATCTGTCTACGTATTTAACTATTTATAGGACATGATTTCATTTCATGGACCAATTGATAATTGTGAATCACACCATCTCATTCATTTTTGTCGGCATGTCATTTGTTCACTGCTCACTCGCAAAATGTTTTTACTCGCAAGTGATTGGCAACTTTTCGAGCCGCTTACTTTACTTTTCTCTATGGCCTCTATTGCTTTACGAATAACGTTTGTGCATATAGAAAATAAAAAATGCTTTTGGAAAAAAAATCAAAACATTTTAGAGTCCTTAGGTCTCGAGTTCGAAATGGTGGACGAAGTTTACTATTCACAACACTTATGATTATGTTTTTCAATTTCAAATACTGGAGGACTCTAGTGACATACACCTATCGATAATATTTCCATGCACTTTAGTTGGCTTACGTTATACGTATGAGTCATTCTGCGTATATGTAACTATTTATAGGACATGATTTCATTAATTGCTGACTTTAAGTGTCTATAGCTTTTATGAATAGAGTTTGCATGAAATATGGAAAACCGAAGTCAATAGTCGAACGATAATCCTTTTACCACGAGGTGACTTTTTTAAACGTTTGGTGTATCAATTATTTTTTCATTTAAATAGTCCTCTTTGCGTGCATGTTTTGCACTTAATTTAAGGGCAATGTCTTTATATTGTACTTTATAACACGCAAGAAAAGACGATTATTTATAAGACAAAATGATTGAATGTATTATATCTCAAGATAATATATGTCAACAATCTAAGACTGTTAGAAGAAAATCTTTGAGACTTACTTTGATTTTCTCACTAATTTCTCTATGGTCTCTACCGCTTTACGAATAACGTTTGTGTAATGAAAAATGTGAAGTTATTACAATGCTTTTGTAAAAAAATTCAAAAGATTTTAATGTCATTAGGTCCTGAGATATTGCTTAAAATGAATAGTCGTTTTTCTCCCATGTTTCATAAAAAGATATAAAATCGTTACCTTCAAAATGTTGAACGAATTTTACTTGTCACTACACTTAAGGTTATGTTTGTCAATTTCAAATACTGGAGAAAGAAATTTTTGCGAGTTATTTCGATTCACTCGCAAACAGCGAGTTACTTTATTCACTCGCAAACAGCGAGTCACTTATTCACTCGCAAACTTCTCGCACTCGAGAGTGACTCGCAACTGCATCGCGAGTCACTCGCCCACTCGCCACTCGATAATCTCGAGTCATGTCATGTTACTCGAGGTCGGTACTGTATATTAAAAATAACCATCCAACAACACTTCTCGATCATGGAGAGGATTATTCTCATGAACATCATCATCGCATTCTCTACAAATACATCTCAACACACCACATTGTCTGCATCTCAGTACAGCTTCATTTCCATTGCATCGACAACACTTCATAGCATATAAAGGAGGAGCAAATGATGACACAGTGACATTGAATAATTTTTCCCTCATACTTTCCCAATTTTCTTATCGATTTTCCATTCTTTTTTGCCAAGCAGATGGCCCAATATTCACTTCTCCAATAACCAACTGAGAGCTTTCAAGAATAGCTTCGAGATCTAAAATGAAAATGAAATGATTTTATGACATAAAGCTGTTTTCTTTTCTATTTTTTTTTCTAAAATACTATACAAGAGTACATTGAAGTCTTAAAAGCACAGTTACATGTGTATAAAAATATAAAAAACTATGTATAGATGCAGTGGCCGGGACAGCACAAAAATTTTTGCTTCTGTTATGTAAAGTTGAGATGTAAGAAGTATTATCAACAACCTCTTTTAGTCACACTGTCATCACAAAACATTTCCTGTGGAACATCATGTAAATCTGACGATGTTGTAGGCATTTCCTCATCTATGATAATAATAACAACAAGTAACATAAAAACATAACATACAAGTTTAACAAAAATGGGCATGTGGAAAGGAGGGAAGAAAGTGCTGAAATTCGTAGAACGTTGCATATGAATGTTGATGGAGTCCGCAAACGAGGTAGACCGAGAAAGAGATGGATGGATGCTATGAACAGTGATATGAAGGCGATGAGTATAACGAGAGATATGGCGAGAGATAGAGACGTTTGGCGTAGAAAAGTTCATGGACCGGTCAACCTCCCTGGAGGGGATTAATACTGGCCGGAATACAAATGTTGTTTGTTTGTTTGTTTGTTTTACAAGTTAAACAAAAATGTAAAATGCTGTTATTTCTTTGATAAAAGTATTATTTCTACAGCACACACCTCTTTGTGTATTTCTACTTCTCGAAGTGCTTTGCTTGGCTTATGAATAATCCGTTCGTCACCTTCGCTTCTTTGAAGAACTAAATCTCTTCTGGCATTTTTCTTCTTAATAGTTTTATTTCTACCACGAACACCTTGATTTGTAATAGCATTACCATTGCTTATTGCAGACAGCAGCTGCTCATCAATCGTTGGTTTACTCGGCCTACTGCGTTTATGAGACATGTGTTTGCATAAATAAGAGGTGAAACCCCGATGTGTTTAACATTTCAAACAAAATACTGATACAACCGTACAGGGTAATGTAGAATATCTTCCCCCCTATAACAAAACAAAATGGCGCGCGCTAAGTTTTTTGGTTTTTTAATTTCGGCAAGGTCGGTGTCACAGTGATATGGGTATCCCCGTGTTTTGGGTATCCCCGTACTTAAATCACTAGTGTTTTGGGCATCCCCCGTGAGGATACCCAAAACACTAAGACCATGGCATATGGCCGAAATAAATTAAGACCATGTAGCTTGAAACGAAAATTGGTATTTCTAAAAAGGACATGTATGGAAGTAATGACCAGACATTATAAAGGTGAGATGAGCAGCTATTGCTAGCTAAAATATTATGTCTTTATTGGTATTTCATGGCATCTTGTTTGAATTACGTATGAAATGCTTCATAGATACCGTTGACATATAAATTTGTTGTTGTGATTTCCATTTTTTTTCATTCTGTATTGCGAAGTACATTGAACGTATACGTTTGAATAGACTTGTAATTTAACAGTTTTAGATTGTCTTGAGTTCATTCAAACATAAAATGATTTATTAAAAACTGGGTAGTATCAAAAACTGTCAACAATTACGCACATTTGTAACAATATCTTTTCTTGTGATATAATCAGACCTTTTTACCCCTCGAAGAATACAACATAACAAATGTTAAAACAAATTGCAATATAGTTAAAAGTATGAATGTTTTATGCAGTGCGGTGTTTGAAATTAAATGAAGATACGATCTTCGCACTTTGCTGGACAATTTAAGCAATCGTCTCAGGACCTGAAAAAATCAGGTGACTCAACGGGATTCGAACCCATGACCTCTGCGGTGCCGGTGCAGTGCTCTGACCAACTGAGCTATGAAGTCACACAGTGGTGAGCAGGTCAATATTGTTGGGCTATGTTTTCTCGTGAAAGGAATGTCGTATGAAGAATGTTCTATGCAGTGCGTTTTATTGTTTTATACATTCATACGACATTCCTTTCACGAGAAAACATAGCCCAACAATATTGACTGTTTCCTGTGTTTCATACTCATTCAAAGTTAAGTCAGAATCCTAATCAATTTTTTAGTCCTGAGAATTGCAAATTGTCCAACAAATGTTAAATCAAATTTTCATTTAATAGTTGAAAGTACTAATAATTCAGAAGAAGAATCGACTTTCATTATCAGTCACATAACACACACTTAACCTGTTTTTACTTCTTTTCACCACAATGTGGATTACATTTCCATTTTATTTCTGCTTTTTTAAAAAATAGTTCTGGGACATCAAGGCAGTGTTTATGAAACCAGCTCTGACAACTGACACATTCAACCATGTCATCTTCCTCCCTGACATATGGAAGGCGACATCTACAGTAAATTGGTATAAGAACCTTGTGTGATGTTTGTTCAGGGCTTGACATTCTTGGTACAGATGGAAACATATGCATTTTGCCTTTAGTAAAACAATTCCACAAGTGACTTCGGATATTCCTCCTTTTGAAAGTTATCTTGATGGGATCCTGTCCATAACAAAATGATGTAGCAAAAGCAATGGCAAATATACCACAGTCATACCATTTGTCTGTTGGGTGACTGGCTCAATTGAGATTTCGATTACATTTTCTGAATGAAGGTACAGCAGACAAGCAATTTGCTTTTTAACTGTGTTACTAATTCCTGAGTACATACTGTCATAGAGTTTAACAGCATTATTTTGGTTACAATGAATGTTACTAATGCATATCCAGTGATTTGCACCAGTGTGAAGAACTTGAATGAATTTACCTTTCATGACATCAAACTGTTGCACCATACCTAATGTTGTTGCTTGGAGGCCTTCCATGCATGGGAATTGTTGCTTCAACAAATCTTGGGCCTTGCCAATGTGAATGTCTGTAAGCAGACCATTTTTGATAATGACGTCTTCATCATTTTCATTTAATGGATAATTTGGTGTCTTCATCTTGCTTAGTAAACTCACATCCGACTTCCTTTCCTTCACAATCTTGCACTCATCTTCTTCACATGGCTGCTTCCTTGTATGATCATGCTTGAATTTCTTTGATGGTATGCTTGTTTTTGTTGGTTTGCATCCCTTGTTTTGTTGCTTTTCCCAGTTCTTTTGAAGTTCCTGTACATGATATTGTCCTCCAAATTCTAGGTAGCTTTCAGCTTCACAATAAGACAATTTTAAAATGGCCTGACTGAGAAGTGTAAGAGCATCAGGGAAGATAACTTTGGTAATGAAGTCTACCCAGAAGATGGAAACCATCCAAGAAGTTTACTTACAATAAGGTCAGATTGCTTCTCAGTAAATCCTCCAAAAAAGACATTTACTGATAGGTCTCTCTTTTTTAGGTTTGGAGCACTCTTGCTGAAACCTGATTTGAAAACTTCACAACGCCAGCATTTTTCTTCGCATTCTAATTTGTTTATTAAATCATTCTTAATGCATGAAAGGTGTAATAGAAGGGCACTTTTTCCATACTTTTATTTTTCATCAAATTTTTGTAGGCCTGTTTGCTCAAAGACATTGATTCTTGGTTGTTTGCGTCTGCTGTTTTTCTTTTGTGCTTTTCTTTTCTTTCATTCTTCTTCTATTCTTCTTCTATCATCTTCTTCTTTTCTATCATTTCTTCTGTTTCTATTACATTTCTTCTTTCTTGTCTTCCATCATCTTTTCTTCCTTCTTCTTTTCTTCTGTTATTTTCTTTTCTTCAATTTTCTTCGTTTCTTCTTCTTTCCTTCGTCAATCACTGCATCTTCTTTCTTCATTGTTTGTTCTTTCTTCATCTTCTTCAAAACATCCAGTTTTTCTTCATCAAACTCTTCCAGTTTCTTTTCCCATTCTCTTCCCTTTTTTGTCAGTTTTGCTTCTGTTTTTTCAACCTTTGTGTAATTTTCTTCTACCTGTGCACAAACAGCAGAAGTTGTTTGGTTTGTGAACTTTTTATTGTTCTCCTGTTTGTAGAGCTTCAGGTTTTTAATTAATTCCTGTCTTCCTGCTTTGTTTGTTAATGGATTCAACAACCTGCAAACACCCCTATTAACATCAACCTCAATAACTTTATACGGGCCATTCCATTGATCTTCAAGTTTATGCCCTTTCTTTATTTTCTATAGCATATTACGAAGCAAGACAGTATCTCCATCCTTGAATTGGCATACAGGTTTACCCCTTTTTTCTGATACTGTGCTTGTTGTTTTTCCTGGGCTTTCTTGATGTTGGAGTTAACAATGGGGAATATGTTATCCCTCATTTGAGACATTTGCTCGACATGTTTTTCTATGGCTACTTCACTGTTCACATCCTGCATCAGCTCTGCAATGTCATTTTCCTCAGTGAGGTCTGTCTCACATTTCTCAGCTTCAAAGGGAAATCTTGGATTTCTTCCAAACATTAAATAGAATGGACTGTATTTAGTGGTAGCAGACTGATTTGTATTAATTGCAAAGAGTGGTCGTTCTATATATTCATCCCATATGTCGGCTTTACTATCCATAACTTTCTTGAGAGGTCTTAATAGAAAAAATAACAGAGGAAATTGGTCTATAAGAATACAAGTTAAGTATACATGTTAATTTAAAAATACTTTTTAATCGTCTCATTAGTTCTTTCATCTTGGCCATTTGATTGAGGGTGGTATGCTGAAGTAATGCGATGATGGATTTTAAAAACTGTGAATAATTCCTCATTCATCTAAAACATATATTTTTAAGTAAACAAGCTAACCAATGTCATTCTCAATAATTAAAAAGAGTTTGTTATTGTAAGAAGTAACAGAATTTTGGTAAATCAAATTTACTGTTGATTTTTCAGGAAATAAATCCTAAATGTAAGCCGTTTATAGCCCTTTTAGAGTGCTAATCATACTCACCAGACAGATCCATGAAAGAAATAAGAGTGTTAGTCATTATTGAAAATATATTAGCTAATAACTATTGTATTTCATTACCTGGTTCACAAACTCTCGTCCTTGGTCTGTAATAATGTGGGCAGGAGAACCATGTCTGCAGAAAGTGGAATAGAGACCTTTGGCCACACTGGTAGCTGTTTTATCTGGAATTGGAATTGCCTCGACATATTTTGTGAAATAGTCTGTTTGTGTCAATAGGAATTTGCTTCCCTTTTTTGATTTTGTATGTGCATCAATGAAATCAATACCAATCAGGTACCATACTCGAGGAACCACTTTGACTGAGTGAAGAACGTCACGCGTATTTTTTCTGCTGCATTACGCTGACATCTATCACATTGTTTTATCTAGGAAAACATCAAAGATTTGTAAAATATGATTGTCATTTTAAAATTTTCATGTTATTACTGTTGCACTTGTTAATATATTTTCATTACATTTATAACATTCTTCAATTTGGTTATTTTGTAATAGATTTATGGTTTACCATTTCAACTGTGTCTTTCTAACAATCTGGCCAATAATATCTATCTCGTATCTTCTTGAAGGTATTGTCTCTTCCACTGTGGCCTGCGTAAGTTGCCGAATAACTAAGCGTTGACTTTTCATCTTCACAAATAACTAAGCGTTTAACTGTGCCTTCTTTTGTCTTCTCCAAGTACAACAACGAGTCTAATTTTTTATCGTATTCAAATTTTTTTGAGAATTTGCGCAAAACAAGTTTGTCTTGCTTGGTAAAACACTCGTGATACACGGAATGTTTAACATACTGAAGTAGATTTTTATATTTTGTTGGATCCATCACGAATTTTTGAAATACTGAAATTTGGTTTTGTTTCGCGCAAAATTGTGTTGTTCCCGCTAAGTCAGGGGAAATCCTTTAATCCACAGTAGGGAAACCCCTGAAACAAGCGTAGGAATGGGAACAAGTATAGGGAAACCCATATCACTAGTGATTTGTGAACCCTGAGTGAACGGATGGGGATACCTAAAATACGGCAGCCATTTTTGCCGGGGATTCCCAAAACACTAGTGATTTAAGTACGGGGATACCCATATCACTTTGACATCGGCACTAGATCATGGTCAACTAACGTACGCGCCCACATATTATTCTTAATATGTCAGCGGTAAGTAACAATTGACGAATATTCATGTATAGGTAATTGCCATTGGTAAAGCTGTGACAAACCACTAAAATATAGAATAACCATTGAGAATAACAAGTTTCATATGCGTATTTAACCGAAATGCGGCTAAATGACGAGAAGAATTCTTTTTTCGATTTCAGGTTTGGACAGTTTTACTTTTTTACACATCTATTGTTTTGTATTCTTTGTATTTTACATATATTGTCATATGCTCAACGATTTTAAATCATCATAACGATACTCGAAGAAGCAATGAACAATATACAATAAACGTAACAGTGGCGTATCCAGCCCGTTTTATTTAGCTCTGCTATACAATTATTTCTTTGTTCACTAACTGTAAAAACAACAGATTTCTAAAGAAATGTTTATTGATAGTAATATCAAATTTACATACCACGACCAAAGTTTTTTGGTTTTTTAATTTCGGCAACTGGCAAAGCAGCCACTCATGTCACCAGGCCTGTTGTCTGAATGGACGTTTCGAATTGACTTATAGAGTCAATTTGAGGGTATTTTAATAATTAGCGTATAGAGTTTATTTAAGGAAGAGACTGGGTTGTGTATGTCAGTCGTATGTACTTGTATGTACTCGTATGTAGTCGTGTGGTGTTTTAGTCACGATCATCTCCCACTAATTTATCACGACATTGAGTTTTGTTTGAGATCATACACACATACACATTTTTTTTTATAACGTAAACAAGACCATTGCACATAATTTAATTGGAAGTTAAGTAATCTGGAGCAAAATGTTAGTGAATTCCAGTTGAGCTGCAATGTAGATTATACTTATCTGTTTCTATTAAATGTTAGCTACATTGCCACGAAATCTATATTATGGGTATACAAATGAGACATGCAAGGCGTTCAGAAAATTTATCATGCATTTTCTGCATGATTAGTATGAACAATTTAAAAAATATTCATCCTTAACATAATATTTCTGAATTGATGAAATGAATAATCTTAAGATGCATTTTAAGATGAACACATTTTTACACCAAAGCTATTTTTGTGTTTTGCATGCTTCCGTACATGAGACTTTTCACATTGAACAACATTTAAAATTAAAGAAAAAAAGATTGAAATTCTTTGCAACTTAAACGAAGCACGAATCAAATCAATTGCAGCCTGCAATAAGGCTTATTGAGGAAATTGCAATTTTTTCTCTTCAATTTAGCTTTGAAATAATGTCATAAAATATCTTTCATCTTAAACAATTAATCACTTTGATTTATTGTTTGATTTTAACTTATATACCATGAAACTGGTAATAGCTACAAATAGACAATCAGGTAGAAGGCTAATCGCATATTGAACATTCCTAAATTTACTATTAAATTCTGCAGGCAGTTTGATGTTGCTTATTGCTATATAATAGTAACTATAAACAAATACATCGAAATCTACATAAATCTTTGTGAAGGTTTACTTTCCAGTGAACTGAACAACTTTAAGTGGTTCAGTGAAGTTAACTGACTGGCGTTAAACATTTACATCAATATTTGATTCACAGTTTGCGCAAAGTTTAATTACTGAAATAGCTCAGAAGATGTTAAATGCCTACTTTATAGCACTAAGTTAGAGACTATGAAAACAATCTTGTTTGATTTACAAACACTCTTCTGTTACAATCTACAAAATAACCACAATAGAGTTTTCGATTGAGAAAATATACAAAAGAAACAAGTAAATTGCAAATTCTCAAATAAAGCAAACCAGTTGCAATGTCAGACCACAACAACCACTAAAATTAACATCATTGATACTTATACTTGACACTTACATCATGTTTCCTACCTCACTGGTAAAAGAATCATAATTATCACAGCTACGAATATGAACTTTAAGATGCATTTGAAGGGGAATTTTTTTCTGTTTCCTCTTTGGCAAGTTGAATAAGTTTTTTTTGTACTCAAGATTTCGAAAGATGACAAACCCTTTAAACGAAAGAATAATTGAAAAGCCTGTGGTGAATATAATTGCAAACAATTTTATTAATTTTTATAATCAATCTAAAAATTGAATATGTTGGAATTTGCATAAATTTTTCATGTAGCTATTATTTTCATTATCTCACTCACTATTGTGAATTCATGAAGGAGTTATGTATATTCTGCCACTTAAACTAAATTTTCTTTGATGCAAAGGTTGCATCTTTTACTGGTGCTGTTGTATGGTTTGCTGTGTGTGATGATGTTCCATGAGATGTCGTGGTCAATATTGCTGTCTTTAAGGGTCCAAATGTGCTTACTGAGTTCGGTCGAGTTTCGTAGTTTATGTGGCGGAAAGAGGTATTGTGATTTCTATGTCTAGTCTTAAATTCGTTTTCTGTAAGTCCAATATACGTCTCAGTTGTGTTATTGTCCTTGCGTTTCACAGTAGCTTGGTAGAC